TATATATATATATATGACACGGATAGAATTCTTTCAAATATCTAAATCGAAATCCAAATCCAACGGATTTACATATAGGAAGATATTTAAACCCGACAAACATTTTGATTAAAATTTCATATATACATAGATTATATATGCATAATCATAACATCATTTTATATATTTATATGCAAAATAATTAGATCATAAAATTACAGTATTTCACATAAACAAAGCAAGAACTAGATAATTGATAAATATTTTTGTAATTGCGAAATAATTCAAGGGTACAACACTTTAAAAGGAACAGGCTCTAAGCTCTCTAAACCGCAACAGAATCTTCAACTAAGGTTCATCCTTCAAGTTATTACACAGAGAAACCTACTGAAGCACATTAATAACTTTCGGACTCACTGGTTAGAGTCAGAATTGGATATGTCTTCGATCACGCCTTTTCCATCAACCGCGTCGAAGTAAAAGAAGTTCTTCAAGGGCTCTCCTTTGCACGAAATCACTTTTATCACCTCCTGCAGAAGAAACTTTCTCAGAAAAAAAACCAAATTATAGACGAAACCCGGAAAAGACACATGAAAGACGAGATAGAACCTGTCCTAATATCCCTCCGACAATGGCACAAGCAGGTGGGAACTCTGTATTGCCTGCTACGAGTCTCTCCAAGAGGTTGTCCGGTATCTGTGTTTCGCTCACCGACTGTTACAAAATTCAGATTCAGAGTGAGATTCTGTCGCGTTAACCTTTGGAGCTCGAAACTTAAATGCCGAGTGATGCAAAAGAAGCAAAGCAAGAGAATAAAAGACTGGCATTGGCCTCGCAGAGTTCCTTCTTGAACTTCAAGACTCTGGGAATATCAGGCAGTGAACTTTCACCAGGTTTACGCCCTTCAGTCTCTTCAAACAGTTCGATCACTGCAAAAATCAATGCGAAGATTAATGGAGTTGACATGCTCATGCTCACTTTCGAATGACAATGCAAAAGCCAGTTTTGTCTGAGGAAGTTATCAAGAAGTCAAATGATTAGCTGCAATACCCACACACCTCTCATAGCGAAGTACAGCTTTGCTGTTCTCCTCGGAATCGCTTTCCATGGCACGGAAATCGCCTCCTGGACCAACTCACAGCAAGCAAACAGAAGAATTCATACCTCATACAGTACTATTCATGCAATACTAGAGCATTAAGTGTACCTCAAAACTTGGAAATGTTAGTTCGCATTCCACTGATTCTTCAAGCTTTTTCTGTGGAACAAAAAAAAATTGAAACCGGGATAAGGACAGATGTCAAGGCGACACATAATCAACAAGAGACCAGCAGCATCACTTAAGTGAGCAAATGAGATAATTACCTTTGCATACTTATAATTCCGCAGATCAACAAAGATTTCACCACAAGAGTCTCTGCAATCGACTGTGTAGAATGCAACACGTTTCGATAACTTCCGACATTTTTCATTAACTGATTTCTGTAAAAAATAATCTCTATGTAAGGAAAGGCTTGCAGAGAACAATCGAAGACAAAAGTCATCGAACCAGAAAAATGAAACCAGAGAGCAACGGGATGAGCAAACAGATGACATCAGTACTTTGGTAGCACGAGAACTGTAGCCGATGACCACAACATCAAACTTCTCGAAAAACTCTGTAGCAAACGTTGACAAATCGCCTGAAAGATAAAAAAACGAATATGGTGAGTACTTTTTTTTGTGTTTTTGTTGAAATTTGTACAGCGATGAGGAGAGAGATTACAGCAAGAACCTTTTTCCACGGAAACACGGACCATGGGGTTAAACTCCTTAAGTGAATCACAACAAATCTCAGCCACGGTTCTGCCATTGCAAGTGTTCTCATCAGGTGGAATCAAGAAATTCGCGTTCAAAACTCCCTCCGTCACTAACCGATCATCCACCAGAGTCACACTGCCTACTCCTGCCAACACAATGTTCTTGCAAAACTACCCCCGCAAAAGGAAACAAAACCAAATTGTGCAGTTAGCTAAGGCACTCTACGTAAGATACTACACAATTAAAAGTCAGAATAAATCGACCGTGAAGAAGGAAATTTTAAAGTAAAAGTTACCTCAGCAACAGTGCCCTTTACTCCAGACACCAATATATGAGATTTGCTCAATCTGAAATGGAAAAACCGAACTCACATTACATTTTATCAATCGAAAACTCTGCAATAACCCAAAAAAAAAAAGAGAGACATAAAGAGATCATACTGATTCTACCGACGCCCAAGAATCTGTATCAGCTGGAAACTAAAGCCCATTATGCTTAACACAATACTGGAACTTCAACCATCAGTGCATGATACTTCATAAGTTAAACCGTGGGGGAAAGTTTTGTAAAAACGAATGGGCAAAGATTCAGAGGAACTTGTCTCCCATGAATTCAACAAACAAACGAACCTCGTACCGCAAAACCAGCAGAATATTAGATTCTACAAGCCTAGAATCAGAGCCCTAAAACTCTTCGCTAACTAGGATCACCAAATTCGACCAGCAACTCAAACCCCCAAAAGAATTTATACATGAAATCGAAAGAAAAAAAAATTAGAACCCAGATTCAAGAAATCGACATGTATTTACCAGAGATGCAAAAAAAAAAAAAATCTGCAGATGAACCAGAACCCAAATCAAACTAAAAATTTCTAGAAATTTCGGAGCTATATTCAAAACCCAAGACTCCAAATGAATCCAAACCCACGAGCACAGTACTCATTCGAGAGACTTTCTTCTTGACAAAACTGTTAGCAACCGGCATAAAGCCAACCAGTTACAGTCTTAATCATTGCTTAATGCGGTAAAAAAATCATTCAATCCAATCAAAATCGAAAAATCAACGACTGAATTCAAACTAAGACATTGATAAATGGAAATTACCTTCTCTGCGCATCAGCACCCCAAACCCTAATCTGCCGATCGTACAATGCAGTCTCCTGTTCGGTAAGCTCTTCGCCGTCCATTCCCACTCTCAAGCTAGTACCAAATTCACAAAGCTTCGATCTTTTTCAGAAATGGGGATTTCTGATATGTTTAGAGAAAACCCTAGCAACAGATATGAACGAATCCAAGTAGAAAGAGAAGGTCTTGGGAAAGTTTTTAACTTCCGCACGTGATTTTTTCAAAGGCAAACGCTGCGTTCGATTCCAAACGCATTTCTGCTTTTGTCGTTTATAACTGCACATGCAGCGAGTAGCGTTAGACTTCAAACACCGTATTGGCGTTTCAGTCGCCAAAAATGCCTACGCCGTGTTTGAAACGCCAAAGTTGGCGTTAACTTATATAATTGATACTTGGTGCCTTGACTTTTCTAGATATTTTGTTGTTTTGTCATCTAGTTATTGATCGTGTATTTTCTAATTAATTAATTTCAAGAAAAAAATAAATAGTTTATGCACTTTCCTCTAATTTTGTGAATAGTTATAAACACAGAAATATTGAGAAATTTTTTTTCCATAATCACAATTCACAAGCACATCCCTAACAATATCTGCAACGATAAAACTTTAGCGATCATGAATCGTCATTATCTCTTCATATGCCTTTGATATCTATTGTAATAATTTTTTTAATTATTTTCCTGTTAACTTTTGGATTACAAAGAGTTAATGGTTTTTTTGTATGACATAATTAACAGATATACAAATATACAACAACTAAGAAATTTATATTTCAAGGCCTTTTTTTTTGCATTTTATTTATCTATTTTAAAGATTCCAAAAAATATTTCCAATATGTAATTAGCTTAATCATCTACAATGTTTTTAAGTTTACTCAAATCAAAATACTACTGCTTTCTCATTCACAACTCACAGATAAAAACAAAACAAATAAAAAAGACACGTACCTCCTAAATAATGAGATTAGAATTTCTTTCTCCATGCTAATTTTATTTGTTTTCTTTTCTCCATTAAACTCTACATACGTATAAAAAAAATTGTAAAAGAAATATTATATCTGGAAAAGAAATAAAAATCGCTATAAAAATAAAAACAAATGGCCATAAAAAAAAAACAAAAAATTCCTATGAAATAGAATCGTAATCGAGTCTTGAATCGTTACAATTTTAAAAAGAGAAATATAAAATGCTTACCCGAATTGGGATCAGCCTTGAAGCCATTTCCCATGATGACAAGTTTCTTCTACGAGTTGCGAATGAATTTTCTTCTGCTTGGAGTCGATTCGTTATAAACTCTTTTTTTTTTCTGTCTCATGGTTACCGAAATCAGCAATTTATTTAATGACAATTAAATTAAAGAGATGAAAAGTGGGATGATTCAACGAACGAATGTAATGTGCTACTAACTTATTATTATTATACTAGGTGAGAACCGCGCGATGCGCGGTTTATTCCTTTGATAATATAAAATATTTGTTCCTTTGTACAAAAAAAATATTCATATGAATATAATTATATATATATAATATAAAAAATGTAAAGTGAAAGAATATATATATATCATTATATTATTATATTATAAAATTATTTTTATATATACATTGAATATGATTATCAATATAATTTGATATGTTTTTACAGTGAAATCTATAGTTAATCAATATAATAGTTATGAGTTTCTATTTTTTTTAAATATATATTCACATTATAATAATAATATTTTATATTAAACAATTTAAATATGTTTTATTAAATAAATATATCTATTCATACCATATATTATGGTGAGATTTTTAATAAAATTTATAATTCCAAAAAATATAAATATAATTATTAAAAAATAAAAGGTATAATTGATTATGTATATTTTTTATTAAGTCTAATTAATATATTTTTAAATGAGTTATATTAAAAAA